TATATATATATATAATATATACATATATGATTGCAAAACAGTTTAAATATAATAAAGTAAGAGACATGGCAAACTGTCATGATTGAGAGGCAGTATCGATAAAGGGATCGAAATGATGATACAGATAAAAATAAATTTGTAGATAATACACGTTAACACATTTGATAATATCCTGTATTTAATTGTTGCAATATCAGTTAATTTTTAAGTAGCATATCTTTTGATATATTACTTTAACAGTAAATTATAATTCATAGTTAAAGTACTTATATATATATATTTTTTTTTTTGCATCGATAATATAGTGCTACAATAGCATGAAATTTCATTTAGAAACATTGTTGGAAAATATCAGTGAGATGAATAATCACAATATACCACCATTAGTCACAAGTATGATAATGGAAATAAAAAGATCCGACGCAGCGAGCGATTTGAATTCGTTCAAAGGTCGATCCGCGAGAAAACGATAAAAATTTTCCGTGTAATTCCGTCGCGCCCCGAAGAAAGTCAACAATTTATATACGCACTACGCAACATCACTTGTGACGCATTTGGCGTGTTATGTTCGATAAAAATGCGAATGCTATTCACAGCACGAAAAAGACGTAACAACAGGGAGTTACCGAAATTCCCTTCTCTTATCTGTTTGAGCGCCGAAAAACTTAGCGATTAAATTCGAATTCGACGTACCTTTCTCGCTAAGTGCGTACATTCGATGGGAAGCAACGTGAATACTCTCGCTTCGACGTTCCCCAACAATGAACGTCGCCGACCGGCGATAGGACTTTTCACTTAATCACAGTCAGCTGACGGGGGCGGAGCACGCGCATGCGCGCTCGTTTCGTGCTGCCCGATATGAAGAACGGAGAATCAGAAGGCGGATTTTACAGCGTCCCCCTCCCGTCTTCCCGCTACCGGTCGAAGTGCGTACGTCGCGCGCTCGCCAGCCGATTGTTGTCCGATGTGATCGATGGCCGTAAGACGCGTTTAGTCATCGCACTTTTCTTATCTTTCACTTCGTCGTCGAAAGTGGTAGCCTTCTATACCAGTGCGTATAAAGGTTGCTTCTGAACTCTGGGCGAACGAACGAGCTGTCGTGTCCGTCTGACTGTTCATTTTTGCCAGAAACCACCTTTCTTCTCGGGGATACCTCGCATAACCTCCCCGCATTCGCAACGATGAAGCTACCTTGCGTTCTCCTCGTCCTCGCCCTCGCCTGCGTTAGCAGCACTTTTGGAGACGGGCTGAAATGTAAGTTTTTGTCACCGACGATATGTCACTTGTACATACACACACCATCATATCCACATCTTGCTATTTGTTTGGTTTTTACATTGTATATATATTTTTTATTTATTTATAATTTATATATTTATAGTTTATTTTCTACATAGTATATATATTTTTTTAATTTATTTATAGTTTACTTATTTTTTACATAGTTGCACTATTTTTACTTGAAATAAAATACGTGCATATTTAAATACTTGGTCGAAAAAAGGAGGTGAAATGAAAACATCGAAAGTTCAATAGGATATGTAATTACAAAGAACTTATATTTTCCTTTGTCTTATCCTAACGGGAGGAATTTCATCGCAGAAACATTTCAACTTTCTGTCTTGAATTTAAATTCAAATATAATAGAGAAGGCGTACGTCTTCCAAAATTTCCGCGCATATCGCGGAAATAGAATGACTCTGCATAAAGTAATATGCATGAAACGGATAACAGTTTATTTTTCATCGAGAGATGCAAGACTTTTGAATATCGTCTATGCTATTTCTTCTTTCAGCTATGTTAAATAAGCTTTGCTCTATTAATTAAAAAGAAAAAAAGCAATTCTAACTTCACAATTATATATTATATATTATACGCAGTACTTAATTGTAAGTGTTCTATGAATACAAGTTTCTGTAACAAAAATATATATAATGTGTGATACTTATTTCTTAATGTATGATATTTTAATGATTATTTTAATGGTTATTTTAATGATTTATTTGATATAAATTCTCATAAAATATATGAATATGTGAATCTAATGATATTAACTTACAAGACAATATTGTTCCTATTTGGAGGTTATGTCTATATGTGATAAGAATTTAGATTTTTTACATATAAATACATATAAACATATAAATTACATACAAATAAATATAAATTACATAGAACAATGCAGAAAAACTTTAAATCACTTGTCAAGTATAGATTTTGTCAAGTATAGATTATTGTTACCTTGATGAGACATATATATTCTATGAAAATCTATATACTTTTTAACTTAAAGAGAACAAGTGAACATGTGATGATTATTTGCTAGTTGGCCTTTGTCCCTCACTGGTTCATGCACAGTAGATAAAGTCTGTCCCTCTCCTGACTGAGTCTTGCGCAATTTATCGAGGAAGTGTTGAAATATGCACGATGTGTGTATATATAAACCAACTTGGCATTAGACTGCGTAATACTGATGTTGCGTTTAGATTTATTGAGACTTATCTAAAAAAATATATATATATATACATATATATATAGGTCAAACTATCTCAAGAAATACAATTATGAATTATTTGGTTACTCGATCATATTTAAAAGATCTCAGTTTTCAGTCAGTTATTACTTTTATATGTCAACAGTTAAAAACTGTCAACATTTTATTTTTATTTGTCTTTTTTTAGAAATAACTACCATCCGAAAACAATCAGAATATTCTGTTTTCCATCAAATATCAACTAACACAGTAACGTTATATCAATATTATAATTTTCCACTCAACAATATAAATGTATATGTTGCACGTAACAGTTATATCGAATGGTAAATTATAATATTTTAATAATAAATATATAATAATAAATAGTAATATAAATAATATTTATAATAAATTATAATAATAATTAAAATAAATAATAATTATAATTAATTATAATAAAGTACAATAATAATATGACATTACTTTCAAGGTGTTAATGTTTATTGGATATTTTGTATCCAATATATTCTTTTTGAATTTATAAAGTAT